TAGTGCCTAAGGCACTTGACTGCTAACCAGAAGGCTGGCGGTTCAAACCCACCAGCCACTCCTCGGAAGGAAGGTTGGGCATTCCTACTTCCATAGTGATACTGCCTTGGAAACCCAAGGAGGGGTCGCTATGAGTCGGGGCCGACTCGATGGCAAATAACAACAACAACAACAACAGCTGCAAGTCAGTACAAAGGCCTTGCTCATCCCACTTTGGGAATGACATTAATCCTTGTAATGTATAGTAGACACTGCCTGTTACAATAGGTAGTACTCCTTACATGAAGATCTGTATAATCAATTTCTGGTCTCTCCTAGAACAGTCAACGAGAATTGTATAATTTGTCATGTTTCCATTTTTGCCTTGGCTGCCAGGAAGCTCAGAACCAAACAGAGTGCTCAACTGTGGTGACTATTTCAACTCAATCTTCTGATAAAATTATTTTTTCTCTTCTCCAAAATATACTCTTTCTTTTTACTCATTGATTCAATTAGTCCATAAGTCATTCAAAAAAAATTTACTGAATGTACTTTCTGTGCCAAGTGGATGCTCCTTGCTAAGGCTATACTTGTGATTAAGGTGGAATGGATCTACTCTCATGGGGAAGTAACACAAGGAAGAAAGAATAAGCAACTTGAAAAGAGTGGAGAAGGGGTTCTGCTCTGATGTAAAATAAAATACAAGGTCCTCTGGAAACACACAAGAAGGGTCATTAATACAGACTTTGTGTTTGATAAGTGAGGACATGCCAAAGAAGATTTTCTGGAGGAAGTTGTGTCTAAACAGAAACCCAAGGGACAAACAGAAATGAGAAGAGAGAGGAATGCTATTCCTGGCAAGAGGAAAAGCACATGCAGAGGGCTAGAGGAAAGAGAGGACTGGAGCACAGAAGAGGCTGGAGTACATCATTTTTTATACAAGCAATTTCAAATCTTTTTGGAAGTAGAAATGGAATTAATGAATAAACCAGAGTTGTAAATCAACCTCATCTTAACTTGTGATCTCAGTTTCCCTGCTTATAAAACATGCATAAAAAAAAAACCAAACTCACTGCCATCAAGCCATCGACTCAGATCCGACTCATAGCGACCCCTCTTTGGGTTTCCAAGGTGGTATCACTATGGAAGTAGATTGCCCAATCTTCCTTCCAAGGAGTGGCTGGTGTGTTTGAACCACCAGCCTCCTGGTTAGCAGTCAAATGCCTTAGGCAAAACAAGCATAGTCCTTGGGTTACTGTGGACATTCTATAAGACAATGTCTATGGAAGTGGTCTGATAAGCACAGAGGGAGACCCAGGCATGGGAGGACTTGGGCCACCATCACCGTTGTCACAGTTTCACTACAGACCTGGGTGATGCCTTGGGAAAGTGGCAAAGCTTACTTCATGCCCATTTCCCTTTCTATCCAAAACCAAACTCACTGCCATCAAGTTGATTCTGACTCATAGCAACCCCCATAGGGTTTCTAAGCCTGTAAATCTTTACAGAAGCAGACTGCCTCATCTTTCTTCCATGGAGTGGCTGGTGAGTTCAAACCACTGACCTTTGGTTAGCAGCCAAATGCCTTAACAACTGTGTCACCAGAGTTCTTTTCCCTTTCTATTATACCTATTTCTGCCCCAGCCTTACACATTATCTCAAGCCCCAGACTTACACATTATCTTGGAGAAGCAGCTTTCTCAGTCTGTTTCCCCTCTGCCATGCCTACAATGCCCAGCTACTCGTAGGTCTGAGATGAAGCAGTGGACACAGAAGCCCATTGAACATGTTAACTCTGTGTAAACATGGAGAGTTATTTTTACTGTGAGAAGCCCTGGTAGGGCAACAGTTAAGCACTTGGCTGGCTGCAAATCAAAAAACCTGGCAATTCAAACCAATGCAGTGGCTCCACGGGAGCAAGGCCTGGTAATCGGCTTCTGTAAAGTTTACAGCTTAGAAGATCCTATGTGGCAGTTCTACTCTGTCTTAGAGAGTCACTTTGAGTCTGAATCGACTTGAAGGCCACCATCAACAACATTATTACTGCTACATGCCAGCAATGTCCACAGTCTATGGAAAACCCTCAAAGAGACCTGAAGTGGGCCCAGGTTGTGTCCCTCCATTCCACTTGGACTGGTTAAGTGAGGCAGCAGAGGGTAGGGAAGTGGTCCCTGCTTTCCCTTGCTGCAACACAACTGAATGGTACCTATCTTCCATCTTGCTTTAAAAAAACATTTGTTTAAAGTTATCTCATCAAATTCAAGCTGTCAAGACATGGGAGGCCCCAGGGCAACTCGCCTGCGTTGAAAAGCAGGCCCAGGCAGGTAACTGGGCCAGAAGCCACCTTTACGGTCTACAAAAGTGTCTGGTGCCACTTGAGGAGAAGGAGCCATTCTTCCTGCCTGGCTTTGTGGTGCTGCAGAGGCCTGAGCCCCACTGAGGCACTCCAATAGGAGCCAGGGGCAGGCCATCCCTCAAGCTTAGGCAGGGCCTGCCAGATACCTTGCCCACAGGGTGAACAGTAATGAAAGCACAGCAAGGAGGCTATTTATTTTGGGCAGAGACGGTTCAGTGTTCATTTCCAGGCCTGGCATGAGGAACCCCTCTTAAGCCCAGGCCATGAAAAATGAATTTGGTTAGTGTAGTGCTGAGGCAGCTCAACTACTTCCAGCAAAAACACAAATTAAACTGCAAGGGGAAAACATTGCCTCCAGAGTGAGGAGAACCAACTGTCAACCGTCTATACAAAGGGAAATTATCAAACAATATCATTAATATCACACACTACTAAAATTTTGCTGAAGATAATTAAAAAATTGTTGAAGCAGTGCATCATCAAGAAACTGCCGAAATTCAAAGGACATCCAAAGAGGATGTGGAACAAGGAATATCACTGCTGATGTCAGTTGGATCCTGGCTGAAAGCAGAGAATACCAGAAAGAAGTTTGTTTATCTGTGCTTTATTGACTATGCATAGGCATTCAACTATGTGGATCATAATATATTATGGATAACATTGCAAGGAATGGGAATTCCAGAACATTTAATTGTGCTCATTTGGAACCTGTACACAAACCAAGAGGAAGTTGGTCAAACAGAACAAGGGGATACCACATGATTTAAAATCAGGAAAGGTGTACATCAGGGTTGTATCCTTCTACCATACTTTTCAATCTTTATACTGAGCAAAGAATACAAGAAGGTGGACTATATGAAGAAGAACACAGCATCAGGACTGGAGGAAGACTCATTAACAATCTGCGATATGCAGATGATACAACATTGCTTGCCGAAAGTGAAGAGGAAAACACTTACAGATGAAGATCAGACTTCAGCTTTCATTATGGATTACACCTAAACATAAAGAAAACAATAATCCTCACAACTGGACCAATAAGCAACATCATGATAAACAGAGAAAATATTGAAGTTGTGACAGATTTCATTTTATTTGCATCCACAATCAATGACCATGGAAGCAGCAGTCAAGAAATCAAATGACAAAATGCATTGGGGAAATCTGCTGCAAATGACCTCTTTAAAATGTTAAAAAGCAAAGATATCACCTTGAGGACTAAGGTGTGCCTCATCTCAGCCGTGTATTTTCAATCAGCTCTTATGTATGTAAAAGCTGGACAGTGAATAAGGAAGATCAAAGTAGAATTAATGCCTTTGTTTATGGTGTTGACAAAAGAATATTAAATATACCATGGACTGCCAGAAGAATGAACAAACTGTCTTGGAAGAAGTACAGGCAGAATTCTCCTTAGAAGCAAGGATGGCAAGACTTAGTCTCATGTACTTTGGATATGTTTTCAGGAGGGACCAATCCCTGAAGAAGAACATCATGCTTAGTAAAGTAGAGGGTCAGTGAAAAAGAGAAAGATCTTCAACAAGATGGATTGACACAGTGGCTGAAACAATGGGCTCAAACATAACAACGTTGATGAGGATGGAGCAGAACCGGGTAGTGTTTTGTTCTGTTGTACACAGAGTCGGCCGATATGAGTCAAAACTGACTTGACGGCACCTAAAAACAGCAACAGCCTACCTAGTGACTAAAGTGGGATACAGGAGGGGGAATTACTCTGAGCCCAGAGGCAATGCAGAAAGAAGATGCTCCGTCCCCCTGGAGAATTATTATTGCTACTAAGCCCCACCCTCTGATCCCCTTTCACAGTCACTGTCTTGCTTGAGCTTCACCTAAACCTTGAGGTACAGGCCAAGCTCAGGAGGGAGGCCTTCTCTTACATTCAAGGATGCAGAAGGCCTTGGTGCTGAGGGGCCACCAAGGGCCAGCAGTGAGAACAGTGCCAACACCTGAGAACTCTGAATCATTTGAGCCATCACTAACAGTCCCTTCCTTTATTATGCAAAAGCCTCACAAGGCACTGCCCTCTTCTGGCCTCAGTAGTCCATGACCTGTCTCCCCTTGATGGTGTGAGCACAAGTGCCCTAGGTTCAGGCCTTCCTGGTCAAATCCTGCACACAGATGCTATCAGGCTTTGCTCAGGTCTCAGATGGATTGATGCATTTAATAGTAGGTTTCCTTTCAGCTTATTTAGATTGCCTGGAACTTGATTTTGGAGACATTCTTTCCTATGTGTTTAAGGTACTTCTTTAAGACCACAGTTACACAGTGTTATGGAGTGAATTGTGTCCCCCCTAAAATATGTGTTAGAATCCTAACTCCTATATCTATGGATAGGATCTCTGGTAGCCTAGTGCCTAAGGCATTTGACTGCTAACCAGAAGGCTGGTGGTTGAAACCCACCAGTCACTCCTCAGAAGGAAGTTTGGGCAATCTACTTCTGTAGTAATACTGCCTCAGAAATTCAAGGAGGTAGCTATGAGTCAGATCCAACTCAATGGCAGTGAGTTTTTTTTTATATCTATGGATATGATATAATTATCTTCCATAATGTTATGTTAATGCAGCCATACCAATGTAGGGTGTCTCCTAAACCTAATTACTTTTGAGCTATAGAAAGAGGAGATTGGAACCAGAGAAAAGTAGACACTAGGGAAGATAGACAATTTGTGAGGATCCTCTACAAGCCAAGAAACCATAAATGACCAGTGTTATAGATTGAATTATGTCTCCCCCAAAGTATATGCTGTATAACCTCTATGCCCGTAGAGTTATAATTCCATTTGGGAATGGGTTGTCTTTGTTATGTTAATGATACAGGATTGGGTGGGTTATGTCTTAAGTCAATCTCTTTTGAGATATAAGAGAGATTAAACAAGCAAATGGAAAAAGCAGAGATGGGGAAGAGAGACGCCAAGCCACATGAAGATCTCCCAGGAACAGAAGCTGAAGAGATAAGGAACTTCTTTTGAGCTCAAAGAGAGATAAAGCCTTCCCTTAGAGCAAGCGTCCTGAATTCTGACTTCTAGCCTCCAGAATTGTGAGAAAATAAATTTCTATTCTTTAAGGCCACCCACTTGTGGTATTTCTGTTACAGCAACACAAGGAATCTGAGGCAGACAGTAAGAGGTAGAAGTTATCTGACCACTGTTTCTTCTTCCATTTCCTGATGAGTAACCTGGGGTCCAGTGACTTCCCCAAGGCTTTGTAAAGTAGAGGGTTGGCAATAAAGGGGAAGACAATCAATGAGATGGATTGACATAGTGACTGCAGTGGTAGGCTCAAGTATAGCAAAGATTGTGAGGATAGTGCAAGACTAGGCAGTGTTTCATTCTGTTTTACACAGAATTGCAATGAGTCAGTATCAACTCAAGAGCACCTAACAACAACAACATATCTGGATGGGATCTCAGAGGTCATCTGGTCTCCTGACCTTAGATCATACTGTAATGCTCTCCTTCTCATTTCTACATGGCTATAACTAGCCCATCTTTCAAGGCTGCCCTTCACTAATTGTAACAATGATTATAATATCAACATCCAAACAAGCATTTAGTGAGCACACCATACAAGACACAATTTTTCTAGGCCCTTTGCACAATGTGATGAGATAAGCACTGTTATGCACATTTTACAAAGGAAACTGCAGTAAGAAAGGTTGAGTGAGTAAGTCACAGAGGCAGTAAAGGATGTCAACTAGATCCAAACTCAGGCTGGCCAGCTCCAGACCATGTTCTTTACCGTAAGAAGGCAAGCCTCCCTCATCCACAAAGCCAGCAATGCTACACCCCTTTTCTGAATTCCCACAGCCTTTTGACTAAGCTGATCTCAGGTCCTGACTGTGATCTACACCCCAGGTCACACCAAGGATCTCCTCTAGCCATCTAGGTGCTCTAGAGGCCCACCAGGCCCAGCCTTTCCTCTGGCAGGACACCAAGCAAGGTCATGTACTGAGCAGTTGCTCCATCAATATGACTCCGGCCTCTAGCCCTGCCCAAGCATTCACTTCTCTTCCCTTCTCCAGCTGGTGCCTGGCCCTGTCCAAGGTCAGAGCCCATTGCTTCCAAAGGTGTCCACTACCACTTGGACAGAAAGAAGGCCCTTGTAGCTCTCGTCTAACACCTGTTTTCCCCTCACTCCAATCCCACCCAGTCCATCCAAGCTCTGCTTCTGCAGCTTCCATTCTGTTGGCATCCTGTGTCCAGGACCTTGCCTCAAGGAAGCAATGGCAGAGGTTAGACCCCCTGTGTCCAAGTCCACTCTTCTCTTACCTGAATCACCTGTTGCCCTCAGCCATGTGTCCAGAAGTTGGGGGAGATGAGGGGCAGCCTCCAGTTCATCAGAATTCATTTATGGGAAAATATGTAAATAAATCCCAAAAATAAATCAAAAGGTTTAAAGATGCCCAACCTGTAAAACAAACCCCCACCGGTCATACCTGATGAATGCTTTGCTGAAGAAACATCTCCAGCTCCTCATAGGATGTCAGACTGTGCAGCATGAGCTGAGGAAAGGCAAACACACTGGGTGAACTACTGAACCCCCCAGACCAGGCCCATCCTGGGTCAGCCTCTGCAGCCCTGGTTTCAGTAGCTACAGAGCCCCAAATGGTAATCACTCCCAGTTAAACAGCAGTGTTCTTAGGACCAGGGGGTGCACCCACATCTACATGCAACTGAAAGCCATGTCCAGCACAGCTAGAGTTGTTGGGGTTGAGTCAGCCCTGCAGCACCCCTGCACCTATACTTCAAGTCCCCAGGATTCAAGACATCATGGAGAGAGAACAAAGCATCCAGCATCATGCATGACTCCAACAGGAGAGGGTTGTACCCTGCAGGCCAGTCACTGGTATCTGATAAAAGGGCATGAGCAAGGGACACACCCAAATCACCATGGTCAGGCCAGAGTCAGAACTCAACAGAGTGTGCCCCGAATTCAAAGCCTTAAGAAGTGGGAGTTAGGAGCCACTTTTGCTTTTCCAGAAAGACCAGGAAAAAATACACTTTTAGAGAAGATATACAATGGCGTGAGGCTTAATTAGGATCCCAGGGCCACACATTCCCAAACCTAGGTCAAATGAAGCAAACTAGTTAAAACAAAAACTCTCAGTGAAGAGGAGATTCATTTGTGGGAAAATGCATCATTTTTGTATTTTCATTCTCTTTCATTATTTTCTTATTCTGTCTTATAAAAGTTGGTCTTTGTCAAATCTACCAAAGTGTTAGGTCAGACTTTGGGGCTGGAGAGCTATTCTACCAAGTTCTTCCCACCTTCTAACTGCCTCTCCATTACTCATCCCATAGCCCTCCCATAATAATCTCAGAGAAGATGCTAAAGGAATACAAAGAGGGACATAGAGAAGGCTGGGGCTCAGACAAAAACCATTAAGTAGAACTTCAGGCTCTGCAAAACCTCCAGGTAACATAGAGCTGGTCAGCTCTTTGGGTAACATCACCAGTTCCAACATGAATGGGTCCCCAAGCCACCCCCACTTCTGCCCCAACCCCAATGCCAGTAGAGGCTTCTGTGGGCTTAAGCTGCAGCAAGGGAAAGCTGGTCCATCCCAACTGAGGAAGGATTTACTTATGTAAAAGGAGACAGTCCCCAAACAAAGCCAAAGTTTGCGTGATAATTTTCCAGAAAGCCATACTGTTTCTAAGACTCCATCTGCTTTGTATTTCCCTGTTGGAGTGAACTGCTGCGTCCCTGAAGCCCTAAAAAGGAAAGGGAGATGTATGAGTCCTCCACCCGGTAAAGACATGCCCTTCAGCCAAGGCAAAACCACATGTGCCATTAAATGAGGACAAGTCAAAAGGTGGTTCCGGAGAAAAGAATGCAGCCAAGGGCTTCTTGTTTTTCCCTTCTTTGAACTCAGCCATTAGGCTGGATCCAGAGAACTCCACTAGCAGGAAAGAAAAAAAAAAAAAAATGGAAAAAAGACAGCAGAGAACTTAGAATAGTCAGCGCCAAGCCCTGACAGTAGGAAGTTTGACTGTCACCCACAACTGACAAATATATTTCCAGATAAAGGAATACTGACGTGCTCTTGGTTTTCAGGAACATAGGGAATCCCAGCCTCTGTCCTCTCTGAGCTCCCACCCACCCCACATGGCATCTGTTTACCCTGAATCCACTGGTGGGCATCCCCATGAGGCATCGACTAGAAGTTGGGTGGGATTCGGGCCCCCTGTGCCATTAGTTTGCTGTGTGGCCTTAAACCAGCCACTGCCTCTCTCTGGATTTCTATTTCCTCATCTATAAAACAGGGAGAAATGGATTTCTGGCTCCATGTGCTCTCAGGTCTACTGTCCTGAGCTAAGGGCCATAGTTAATAAATTAATTGCAGCATGAGCACCAAGGACAAGAACTTAATATTCAGTAATGATAATGGTCTTAATACCAGCTACTCACATGGTATTAAGCATTTCATGTTAATCATCATTTATTATTTATATTGGTAAATGATACAAACTAAGAATCATTTATTAGGTATCATTTATCATTTACTATCAAACAACAACATCATTTACTTGTAATGACACATTTCATTTTCACAGCAACCACATTAAGTTATAATTACTATTATCCCTATTTTCCAGATGAGTAAACAGATGAGGCACAGAGAAGTTAAGTAAATTGAGCAGAGTCACACAGCTACTACATAACAGCATGGGGAGTCTGACTCTAGAGACCCTTCTCTTCACCACTGTGTTATACTGACCACTATGCCCAAGAGACTGTGATCCCTGACCCCAAAAGTGACCTCCTTTACTAAAGCTCAGCCATGTGACTGGGTCAAGGCAAAGAACCAGCCAACTCTTCCTGTGGTTTACATGGGGATGGCACCCAGCCATGAGGGGACTAGGCCAAGCAGTGGAATCCAGAGCCTGGGCTCCCCATCCTCTGCTCACTTTTCTGTGCCTCCCCTTCTGTGGACCAGGATCCAATTGAAAGCAAGTATGAGTGCTTTGGGTACTAGGGAGAGCAAGTATACATCAGTGGTATAAGGACTGGGTCAATCTTGGGGTCTGTTTCTCCAAAGCCTCAGGATCAGGGAACTATAGAGGGAGATATGCTGCTGGAGTCAGGGTTTTCTCAGATACATTGACCCACAGCACCCCAGGGAGTAAGATTAGGCAGATACAAACACCCACGCTGAGATGAGCACAGAGAAGGTGCCAGCAGAGCTATGTAAAGAGTCAGGTCCCTGCTCCCAGTCCAGGGCTGCCCACCACTTGAGGCCAACTCCCTAGGCTCTCGTTGTGGTACATAGCACAGGGCAGGGTCTAAGAGAATTGAGCAGACACAAGCCCAATACCCATGTCAAAAGATGGTTTCCCCAAGCACAGGAAATTGCACGTCTGGTTTGCCTGAGCCTCTGCCAGCCCCAGGTTGAGTGGCGGCAAAGGAGCCCTTGGAACCACTTACAATGTGACAACAGATCTCTCTTGGCCCCCAGCCTGCCACAGAATGTCCGCAATGGCCATGGCCAGGCAGTGGGTCCTGTGGGTATTTGAAGGCTGCAACTGCCTGTGGACAAAAAAGGAAATAAGTTTGTGCTTATGGAGACATAAGCCAGAGATGGCACCCCCTGTGCAGAGTGTTTGCACAGCTCTGTCAGCAGATGCCCATCCTTTCCCTCCACCCCCAAAGGGGTAACTTGCAACATGATTGCCTGGGAAGGAGGGGACATTGCAGACGAAGGCCAAGGGAGGAAACTTGGTAGGGAGAAGGCCGAGGAAACCACTCATATGAGCAAAGGAGACTCTTGATACTTGGCAGGGCCCAGAAGTCTATGTCAGAAGGAGTTCCAACAGAGACCAGGAGCCAGAGCCAGATGTGCCCGGGAGCTGATGTAATCTGAGGACAGCCTTTCAGCAAATGCATGGCATGACATGGACTGGCCTGGCCTTGGCAGTCCCTCACCCAGGTCCCTGGAGACAATGGCTGATCCAGACAGGACTCTTCACTCTTAACTATAGGAAATGAGACCACACGTGCTCAGGAGAAAGCAGTCTGGATTGCTGATGACTTAGATTCAGGGCACAGGAATAAAGGAGAAGAAGGATTCAGGGATAACCTCCTTGTTTTAGTGGATGGATGGTGGTGTCACCAACTGAAATAAGGAATACAGGGAAGGCTGGCAGGAGGCAAGGGAGGTAGAAGAGGATGAGTTCCACCCTTCAGAGTTACTGAACTTGAGGAGCATGTGGTATCCCCCAGGAGAAGATGTTGGACACATCAAAATCCAGGAGATCAGTCAGAGCTGAGCACAGGTTTACAAGTCATGAACATGTAATGGGTCCTTGGCACTTGAAGTGGCTAAGATTTCCCAGAGAAGATAAGACAGGGCAGAGAAGGAGGCCAAGGAATGAACTGTGTAGAACTCTAACCCATCAGTGGAGGCAGAGGAAGGTCAGTCAAAAAGATAAAGGCAGAATGCAGAGAGAGTGGCGTTACACAATCTTAGTAGGAAAAGAGTTTCAAAAAGTAGCACCAGCAAACCAGTAACCAGTTGCTGTCAAGTTGATTCCAACTTGTGGCAACCACATATGCATCAGAAGATCTGTGCTCCATAGGTTATCACCGGCTGATTTTTCAGAAGTGGATCAGCAGGACTTTCTTCCAAGGAATCTCTGGATGGACTGGAACCACCAACTTCTTGGTTAGCAGGCATGTTAATACTGTATGCCACCAGGGACTCCAACAGAGAGCAGTATCAAAAATGGAGGAAAGACCTCTTCAAATGAAAACAGTAATTAAGAGGTCCCTGATGCATGAAATGAATAAGAAGGAAGAAAGAGAAACAGCCAAACATAGATTCTTCTTTCAACTTCATATCTGTAGCCCTCCTTAGGGAGCTCTGGTGGTGTAGTACCTACGGCATTTGACTGCTAACCAGGAGGCTGGTGGTTCAAACTCACCAGCCACTCCTCGGAAGGAAGACTGGGCAATTTATTTCTGTAGAGATAACACCTCGGAAACTGAAGGAGGGGTCACTGAGTCGGAATCGACTTGATGGCAGTGAGTGGTTTGGTTTGGTATAGGCCTCCTTACAGCTGTACTTCTTGTCTACCTGTGGCTGCTGTGAATTTTTTCTGAATTCTTACAACAGCTAGCTTGAGTGGGTCTCTCTTCTAAACAAAGAGCCTTGATGAAGACTTTGCTAGGGAGCAAAGAAATACAGGAGTGTTTCCTTACTTTAAGTCACCAGATAGTAACCTAAGCACCAGGCTGAGCTAAGGAGCCCTAATGGTACAGGAGTTAAGAGCTCAGCTGCTAAACAAAAGGTTGGTAGTCTGAACCCACCCAGTGGTTTTGCAGAAGAAAGACCTGGCAATCTATTTTTGTAGTGATACCACCTCAGAAACCCAAGGAGGGGTCACTATGAGTCGGATCCGACTCGACAGCAGTGAGTTTGGTTTGGTAAAGACAACAGACTAGAAAACCCTACGGTGCATTTCTACTCTGTCACATGGAGTACACTATGAGTTGAGAGGGACTCAAAGGTACTGCCAAAGGGGCAGGGAGGGTACATCTTCTGACCTCCTCTAACCCCACAAGAGGAAGACAGAATCGCCATCAGTAGCCCAAGGCCTATTCCTGCGAGACCAAACATGCTGCCTCCCTCCAGCCCTTTCACCAGCCCTAACACTAGCAGTTCCTCCCACAGCATCCACCACCTCTCTGCTGAGTTTGAGAATTCGCTGCAGTGGCCACACAGAACTCACAGATTATGGGGTTTATTAGGAAAGCAACAGGCTATAATTCAAGTTCAGAAATGCACTCAGTCTCTTGCAGCTGGCCATCTCACTCAGCAGCCGGCAGTCTCAGTAGCACATTGCTCTCAGTAGTGCATGTCTCTCACGTCTCTCTCTCAGCAGCGTGTGTCTCTCATGTCTCTCAGGAGTGTGTTTCTTTCAGCAACATGTCTTTCTCAGACAGCAGAGAGACATGAGAGATACATGCTGCTGAGAGAGAGACGTGAGAGACATGCACTACTGAGAGCAATGTGCTACTGAGACTGCCGGCTGCTGAGTGAGATGGCCGGCTGCAAGAGACTGAGTGCATTTCTGAACTTGAATTGTAGCATGTTGCTTCCCCAATAAACCCCATAATCTGTGGCCACTGCAGTGAATTCTCAAACCCAGCAGACAGGTGGTGGGTACTGCAGGAGGAACGGTTGGTGTTAGAGTTGGTGAAAGGGCTGGAGGGAGGCAGCATGTCTGGCCTCGCAGGAATAGGCCTTGGGCTACTGATGGTGATTCTGTCTTCCTATTGTGGGGTTAGAGGAGGCCAGAAGATGTGACCTCCCTGCCCCTTTGGCAGTTGGTGTCAGAAGTGGTGGGATTCGTGCAGTGGCTCTAGACCCATAGAATCATGGGACTTTGTAAAAGAAAGAAGGAAAGGGCCTGTGTGATAGTTGGAGCTGTGTGTCAACTTGGCTGGACCCCAGTTCGGTGTGGTTGTTCCCATTGACTGTGTTCTGAGTGGCCAGTCTGCCCAAGGGGAGTTTCCCTAGGGGTGTGGCCTGCTTGCAATGATATCCAAGGACAACCTGGAAGAGCCGCATTCCTTAAGGGGTTGGAACCGTGGTGTGCAAACTACAGACTTCCGTGAGTGAGCAGCCCACCGCTCGGCCTGGAGATCTCAGATTCATCTTTTGTTGGAATCAACAACCAGTATACTGCATGCCAGCTTGAATCTCTCGGCTCCCCTGTGCTTGCGGAAACCAAGGAGGCCGCAAGCCCCATCTCCTCCAGAGACGGACTTTTCGGCTTGGACTTGTCGGCTTCTATATGCTTGTGAGCCATTTTCCTAAGATAAATTTCTCTCTCTCTCTCTCTATAAATATATATATATATATATACTTTGCTGGTTTTTTGTGTTTCTCTAGAGAACCCAATCTAACACAGCCTGGGAAGTGAAATTTTGGTTTATTAGGTGGTTACTTTACTTGATGTTACCTATTAAAGGAGATGATTGATCTAGAGGCTAGGGCTTTTGGTTACACCCAGCCAAAGGCCCAAGGCCATATACATAGAATGGGAAGGTAATCAAGGTGAAGAGATGAAACTGCAATGTCTTAAAAAGGATTATGTGTTTATCTAAATGTACTACAGGTATTGAATGTTTTCTTACCTGCTTGTACATTAGAAATGATTATGGGGTGTGGATAACAGAGAGCATGTAAGTCTGCCTTCAGCCAATACTTGATTGGATATGTTAAAAGGGGAAATAGAATTTGCCCAGAAGAAACACAGGCTTTTGTTTCAAACGCTGTGTGTAGAGTACAGGGGGCTTAGGTAGAAAATCTGAGCCCCACCTAGAACTACTGAGGGAACAGAAGATTTGCATTTGAAGAAAGGACCTGAAGAGGAAAAAAAAAAAACAAAAAAACTGCCTTTTTGAATTTCAAGCAAGCAGATGGGTTTTCGGTGCATTGAGGCAGGAAAGTCATGGTACGTGAGAGAAACCCCTTCCAGGACTGAAAGTTAAAGGAAGCCAGCGAATAGTAGGCTTGTATGTTGCTCGCTTGTGACCACCTGGGTCCACTTGAGTGGAAATGGGGGAAGAGCAGCAATGAATAAACAGGCTGAGTTTGGTACTCTTTGACCTAGGCCATGGAGGCTGGGGATGTGAGAGAAGGTGCTGGCTGGTCTGAAGTGAAGGGAAGAGTGTGACTCCCAAACTTGGCTGCTGGTACCCATGACCTAGCTGGGATGGCTAGGGTTGAGCTGACCAGAACCCAACCAAAAGAAGAGGAAGATGTTTGACCCTGAGCTGGTGTTAAGTTGCTGCAATTTGATGACTTGCTCTGGGCTGGACTTTGCTTGTTTGTGGATACAGATGCCCAAAGTATCCAAGCAGAACAGAAGATTTTCCAGAGAAAAGAATATGCTTGTCTCCTCAGAGTACTGGTTTGATAGGGATGGGCAAATTAGAAATTGGCTATCTAAAATGGGGGAAGATAAAAGCATGAAGTGGCTGGCTTACACACTGTCACGGGTGTGGTTATTCTTAAACTGATGGTGAAGGGAATGTTAATTTTTGAAGTATAAAAGGGATAATGGACAGAAAAGCCCTATTATGTAATTTACTACACCACAGGTACCTAATAACAACAGGCTGAGCTGCATCGGGAAGAAAGAAGATGGTAATTCTGTCCTTCCCCTCCAGGGCAGGCAAATGGAAACCAGGACCAAAGTCACCAAGGGGCAGCATGTGGTCTCTGGGACACCCAGGCAATTGTGATCCAAATGCTTTAAAGTGAGAGGCACTATAACATTGGGGTCTCTCGGTTTCCCTATCCATAAACCAGCATCTCCCTAGTAACCTTGTGAGCTTTAAGCAAGATTATGGTTGTAAAGCCCAGGGCCCAGGGCCTGGCATGGGGTGAGTGCTCACAAACGGTGAATGAACAGTATGTAAGTGTTCAATAAATACATGGTTCAATTATTATTGTCTTTATGAAAACATCAAGTCCTCACTTGGGCCATGGTGATGAGAAGGTGAGTTCCTGACATCTA